CTTTTGGCAAAGTCATACAAGAGGACCAAAAGATTTAGATTACATGCATAAATGCTTGCAGCTTACGTGTGGCTGCTAACTGACTTCCACTGAAGTTCAGGGCCATCAGTGCCATAAAGGATCAGTCCTTTCTGTGGTTTTGTTCCTTTTCTTATACATGGGAAATCAGACTCTGTGATCTTACTGTTTTTACTCTTAATCTTCTGAGGAAGAATGCTTGGCAGGGGAGCAGAAAGCAGTCTTTTGTGCACGGCCAAAGGGTACACTGTCACTGCCGTGTTACACTCTTACAAGCTGCCACGATTGCAAATAATCTTTTTATTAATGAGAAAATGTCAAAACCCATAAAAATAATGCCTCTAATTGTGATGTCAACCATTTTCCAACAACATTTTTACCCCAAGAGAATTTTTCCCATCTCACTAACACTAAGAGGCATGTGTTGATCATGGGATGGTATTATGGACAATTTTTTTTCTCACACTTTATAACATTTAGTGAGGCAAAACACAATCCGAGGGGAAGAAACAACCATTTCAAATCAGTCCTTGCAATGTGGAGGTGCTAAACAGAGGTCTTTTTCTACATAGTACGTCCTCAGGATGAGAAAGAGGTTGGATTACACAGGCTAAATGATGTAAGCAATAGCAACAGAATATTTTCCTACTTTATTTTACTCCTTCAGAGCCCAGTCACTTTTAGAATTAGAGCTGACTGACCTTGCAGGACAAGGATCCGGATTACATTCTTGAAGTTTTGGCTTTGGCTTGATATTTTCAGGATAATAGTGACAGTATTGATCTGCTACTATCCGGTTGCTTCTCAGATCAAAACATTCAGCAGATGTCAGCTGATAGCCTGCAATACACAGTGGAAAAAATAATACGTGATGTAGTGCTCTTCCTGCCTCTGAAGTGCATCTAAGTTCTGGTTTGGCAAAAAGTGAACTGAAAATATCAGCGCTTTTGGTCACAACAGCTGCTGTTTTAAAGACGAGATTGAAAACCACTCAAATCACATGTAGTAGGAAAAAAAAGATAACCAGTATGATCAAATAAAATTTCAGAATCCTAGAGCAAAAAAGATAAAACAAAGGCCAATGTTTCTTGGTCACCAAGACTCAGTTTCAGTTCGGAGGGTAAAGCTGCTGGTGGGGACAGGGGCAAATGGAGACAACTTTTATTCCAAAGCACACCCAAATAACATCAGCCCTTATGTTTGACAGCTGTAATATTAAATCCAGTGGATATCAAAATCCAGTGGATATCAAAATTTACTTTATGTACAGAGCCTGGTATGATGCTAAAAAATCTACAGGCTGCTACCACTGTTGCTACATCCCTCCCTTCATTTAGATGTAGCTACTCATTTTCAGATTTTGACCATTTTAAAGGTCCAAATCTTAGTGCATCAGCTGGGACAGATCGTATATGCAGATGACTGTTTCTGGAATACCACGGTAATTCATTACCTCCTCCACAAGATGCTGAACAAGGGAAAAAATCAGTTTCCCTCCATCTATGAATGATAGGTTGATAGAAGATAAACTGAACTGAACTGTCGGCAGCACCGGCATAATGGATCTGAAAAAGAAGTAAGACCAAAGAGTAAACCTGACATAAATACTGGGAAGAATCATTCTGACACATGCATCTTGCAGCTTTGAGATGTCTTGCAGCTACACAAAATATCAGAGATACTTTGCAATAGGAAAATGAAATGCACAAAACAGAGCATGTATTGGTGGCAAAAACACAATCAAATGAATTTCCGGGTGTAATCCGTGTAATTTCTGACTGTTCTGATACCATGCTCTGACACAATGAATGCATGGTAAATGCATGGTTAGTGCTACCAAATATTTTTATGGGGACAGACGATATGGACTGATCTTTATTCTATCACAAAATCACCTACCACTACCTGCTGTCCCTGACACATTGACACGGATTTTAGATCTTTAATATTTCCCAAAGACATTCTGAGATCATGTATATAGTTCAGAGCAAAAAATAGAAGGCTGTGCCGTAAGAAGTACAAAAGCATAAAAATTCTAATTCAAGATTTTTTTTCTTTCTGAGGTAAAGTCTCTTCATTCTTCTTCGTGGCTGCAAAAATGCTCCTTTCAGTCGTAGGCATGGACTCTTGGCTGGAACTAAGTGCATGTTCAGAAAACACTCTTTAGAGCCTACAAATACTGCCAACTTTTAAGTCACCTGAGCTTCACTATACTTCTAGTACTTTGCATACTGAAGGGTTTTGCCATGTAAACAAGAGTTTGTAGTGCAAGGAGTGCAATAAGAAAAGTGACCTTCACACTGCTAAAGCAGCATCACTTGCACTTGCACCTGGCCCAGGAAAAAATCCATCCTGATAGCTGTGCTGATTAATACAGTTATGGGGGCTTGAAAAGCTCTGCAGGGCATCACTTGTCCTTGCCTCTAAGCCTTTGCATGAACAGCTGGCAAGGGAAGAACAATGCTGCTACTAAAAGCCTCTCCTAGCCGATTATCTGTCCTATGATATAATGTAACAGTGTTGCCTGGGCATCTCTGCATTAGTGGCATGGTGCTATCACAGGAGAAGAAACTGTCAAATCACAACCAGAAAAGATGGACCCTTCTTCAAGACTCTCAGCAGCAATCCTCTCCGATATTTTTCTTTTCAGGCAGCTTAAAATATTTCAGCACTGCTTTCTCTTTCTTTTCCCATGTTTTGAACGAATTGCCCTGTTTTGGAAACACCGTTTTTCAATCTGCCTTTTCTTTTCTCTCTTTCCAAACACTAAGAGACACAGTCAAAGACTAGACTGTGAAACAGAAGCAAAAATATGACAAATTGAGATGAACAGCACAACCTTGGTTGTTTGTTTTGTTTTCCCCTGTAGATGGACAGAAACATGATTACAAATCAAACTATATCTTGAAAAGAAGTAGGAAGGGAAAAATACCACAGGATATATTGATGGCTGTAAGAGATCTGGCCCACCGAGACTAAGGCTGCCCTTTTCTAATTAGAGTAAACAGTGACGTAAATTCCCAACAGGAAAAAAAAATACAGCTGTAGCAATACAGCTTCTTTAGCAAATGCGAGGCCTTTTGCACGGATTAATATGGTTTGAGTCTGTGTGTCAGAAACAGGATATATAATTCCTTGTGTGGGGATGGTGCATTAATCATACACTTCAGAAGGGTCTTTCTGGGCTCATGAAAGCCTCATGCACTCCTGGGAAAAATGTTCTATTGTGCTGGAAGCCGTTCAGAGGGGTCTCTGACCTGAATGTGCAGAAAAAGCCTTCACTAAGGAGAATTCTGCTCTTACTCTTTGTTTTTGAAGGACCATCACCGATTCTTAAACTCAGAAGTTCTACTCAGCAGTATGGTCCTCAGTGAATCACGAAGAACAGATCAAGAGTTCACACAGAACCTAGTATAAAAGGAAGGGGAGGAAAAAGAATTCACACCAAAAAAAGAAATCAGGAAGACAGTAGAATTCCTCTCCCTGCAAACTATTCTTCCAAGTTTGCAGAATTTTCTGTCTGATTTGACACAGAGAAAAGACAGATTTACATCTTTTTCAGCCTAATGTGGAAATCACTCATACAACCATGATAACACCATAGGTGGGAGAGAATTACCATGAGCCACATCCATGAGCTAAAATGATACAAAACATGAAAATGAAAGAAGCAGGCGCAGTACCATTTATTTTTTTTAAAAGACTACTGTAAGCAGAAGAGGAACAATATACGGTGACTCCGCACAAAAAAATTTTCTGTTTGATTTCATTTGACAGTTTCTTAAAGCTAAGATCTTGATCCAGGAGTACACATCAGTGGCTGCTTGAGCCTTGCAAAACTCAAAGTGAGACTTGATAGCTAAATGCTTTAAGAAATGTCCTGGTTTTGCCGCACAGGGACAGCTTCCACACATTGAAATACTCAGCTCTGGAGTATGGTGAAATTTTTTACCCCTGCAGTATTTGCAACACCCTGCTAGCTATGAGAAATGCCAGAGCTTCAAAAAAGATGTGGTCAATACTTGACAATCTTTAGTTAGTCCTCTAACAGTGAGTTTTGCATCCCTAGTTCACAGAACCAGAAAAAAAAGGCAATCATTGATTATGCTTGTGAATAAAATCCTGTCTAAATTTATTAATAGCAGACAGCAGAAGTCCTCAGGTCTAGCAGAGCATTCAGCCCTGCATTTATGCATCACAATCCCTAACGATCATCCTTGACTTCCTTTAGGTTTCAGGGGAGCTCTGGAGTATTTCCAACATCAGAGGAGCCCTCATCACTTTCTAAGACCCAAGAGGATAGCACCAGTCTTATAAAGACTTGGTTAAAACTAGAGTCCTCAGACTATCCAGCAAAAATTGACTGTCTAGCCAACAGTCACTAGCAACAGAGATATCTTTTTTTTTTTTTCTTGTAGAAAAACATTGAAAAAATATCATCGCTTGTACCCTGCTTTTTTAAATTGATTTTGTAGAATACTATCTGGGATGGTGCAACAGAGGCACAAGCTGTTGCTCAGGTAAAGTTTGGGACTGATAAAATGCATCATCGGTATCCACAGTAAGTTGAATGAAAACAACAGACCTCATAATTCGGACGTGAAAGCAGCATAATCTTTTTGAACTATTCTGATCTGTCCTGTGACCAAGAGACTGCAATATCTGATCCCACCTTTGTATTGTGTTGTTTTCCTGCAGCCCCCAAACTTGATTAGTTCACATTAAAACAAACAAAACAGCAAAGTTCCCGAAAGCCCAAGCCTTTCACGTTTCATTTTGGCAGCATACGTCTGAGCCATTGTTTATGTTCACTGAAGAACACATGGCCTGGCCTACAAAACTGCAGTACACTTACTTGGGCAGTTGTAAAATTTAACCAGCAGTTTATAACCAGCAGTGATAACCAAGAAATTATCAATGTTGATTGTGGTGTTAAACTGTGAGAAGTGTATTCAATAAACTGTTCTCATTTTATGAAAGTGTGTGTTGGGGGAGGAGGAAAGACACCATTTCGTGTGTGTGTGTGTGTGTGTGTCCCAAACTGGCAAAGGGAATTATTATTGCATACCATCTTTTGTCTTATGAAATTTGATCTGGTATATTGTGATCTAGCTCCATGCCACTATGCTTATTAAAAATGTTGTAATGGATTTTCCCACATTATTATTACAAACGCTTTCTGCAAGTGCCAGATGCCAAATCATCAGGTTTGATTTATTAATGAGAAGTTCAATGTTGAAGTCTTTGAAGTAACATACAAAGGAATTGGGGATGATGGTGTGGAGAAGTATCCTCACGTGGCATACATGATTTTGTGCTTTTCATATCATCAGAAAGAGTTTTTGTACAATGTTTTCCATTCTCTACTTAGAGAGCTTTAATATTACTTTTTGTATACACCTTACATTTAATATTACTGTTTAAACACACCTTACATTGAAAAAGAAGGAGTACGTGCAAGAGATTTGTTGCTGTTCATAATATGTTCATGAAGTAGAAATAGCAGCCAGACATTGTCATGGGAAAATAATTTTACAAGGTTGTTTAAAATAACATAAGAAGTATAAGGATGTAAATTGCAAGAGATGATGAAGGCATTCAAGCACACTGTCTAATACAGGACTACACCATGACTGAGTTTGCCTTTCAACTCCTTTGGAATGCTGAAGGGAGCTCTGCCTTTGAGCTCAAGGGACCATGTCTATTGTTCACTTCTGCATTCATGTCCCTTGATTGTGGTAGTCCTGTGTTGGGTCAGCTTGTTTTTGTGTTTGTCTTTATACAGAAGACAGCTCCATCTGTTACTTCTCAATTCAGCTGCTAAATCAGCCAGGGAAATCACTGTAAAATTACATTATCACCAATTCACATGATTTACAAGGCATGTCTGAATTGAACTTTCTCACCATGCCCCCATCTTGGATTAAGATGTGTTTCCTTAGGTGATTAGGATGACTGTTAAGACTAAATCTCTCACAAAGCCAACACAGAAAGGTAGAAGGTTCAAATCTTTTCTCAAATTTCATTATTCTCCCTAAAGGAAGAACAAAATAGAAATTCAGTGCAATGGAGTGTCTAGGATAGCCGGCATCAACAGAGCCTGCTGTATCAGCTATAACAGCTCTGATGATCTGTACAGAACCCACTACCAAGTGCAACAAAAGCAGAAGCTTCTCAAATGAGAAGAACAAAGTTATTCCACAGAACCAAAGGCAAGCCCAAACAAACCAAAACCAGTCTTGATGCATGTCTTCTGTGGATACCACTCATAACACCTGAATCATCTATGGAAAGACCATTTCACTACCAACAACATGCTCCCAGGGTAAGAGAATTCACCTTTGGGCAAGCCACCTTAAATCCCACTGCAGAGTATTTATTAACCTTAATATAATCACGGCAATACCTAAGAAATTAATGTAAAAAGATAGGATCTTATTGTGATAGATACTATATAAAAATAAAATTAACAAAATAAAAAAGGCAATAGTTTCCACAAAAAAAATTTTGAAAACTGAACAAGGTGGCACCAAATATTCATCGTATTTAAAACTGGCTGATTTTT